TCTTCTTCTTCTTCTTCTTCTTCTTCTTCTTCTTCTTCTTCTTCTTCTTCTTCTTCTTCTTCTTCTTCTTCTTCTTCTTCTTCTTCTTCTTCTTCTTCTTCTTCTTCTTCTTCTTCTTCCTCCTCCTCCTCCTCCTCCTCCTCCGCCTTTCCAGTGGCTATTTACGTAATAGAGATTTGTGGGGTTTTTTTTTTAAAAGAAGAATATGCAGTCCTAACATGATAGTTTAGGGAGAAATATTCATCCACTGAATCTTGACTTTGCCTCTTAGGAACTGTCCAACAATTCAATGGTTTGTCTTTTCTGGTTATGAATTCGAAAGAGTTATACAAGGTTATACAAGTATACAGAATGGATAAAATATAAATGTATAACTGCTGTAGATCAGAAGCCTCTTTCTTTCTTTCTTTTTCTTTCTTTCTTTCTTTCTTTCTTTCTTTCTTTCTTTCTTTTTTTCTTTCTTTCTTTCTTTCTTTCTTCCTTCTTTCTTTCTTTCTTTCTTTCTTTCTTTTTCTCTTCCTCTTTCTTACTTTCTCCCTCCCTATCTTTTTTCCTTCTCTTTTGTTCTTTTCTTTTTTCTTTCTCCTTCCTCTTTTCTTTCTTTTTCTTTTTTCCTCTTCCTCTTTCTTGCTTTCTCCCTATTTTCTTTTTTCTTTCTTTCTCCTTCCTCCCTCTTTTTCTTTCTTTTTTTTTCTTTCTTTCTCTCTTTCTCTTTCTCTCTTCCTCTTTCTTGCTTTTTTCTCCTTCCCTTTTCTTTTTTCCTTCCTTCCTTCCTTCTTTTTCTTTTCTTTTTCTTTTTTCTTTCTTTCTTTCCTTCTTTCTTTTCTTTCTTTCTTTCTTTCTTTCCTTCCTTCCTTCCTTCCTTCCCTATTTATTTGTCCCTTTTTTCTTACTTTTCTTTTTATCTCTAAATGTTTTTACTTTGCCAAAAAGTAAAAATTATTTTTTAAAACCGAAAAGGTGATCCAGGCGTGCACTTTCAAAATTACCTGCCCATTTTCTCCCACCTGCCCTCCCTTCCCTGCAGGTATGGATGAGTTAATGGAAGTGTCTTTTTCACCGCTGGCTGCCACAGGGAAGCCTCTCTCCCGATGCGGCAAATGTCATCGTTTTATGAAATACATCCAGGTAAAAGAAAATCCTTAAGCCAACGTAAGGAAAGAGATCTGCGATGCGATATATTTTTTTATTTTAATGCAAAAAGGTGGAAGAATTAAAAAATACCTCTAATGGGGGAATGGATTGCGAAGGTGGCAGCCTTTGTAGAGCTGGCTAAAATTATTCATTTGATAAAGAGGGAGATATTTTTTTATAAAAGGTTAAATATCCTTTATGGACTTCTTTTTCTTTTTTTTTAAACTAAAAATGGAATAAAAATGAACTGGTCATTTCAGGACCCAATGGGAACCGGCTTCTCCAGAAGTTCTGAGGTTTGTCCTTGTTATTTTTTATTTTTAGGCCAAGCCGAGCCGTCTTCACTGCTCGCACTGCGACGAGACCTACAGCCTCCCCCAAAACGGGACAATCAAACTCTACAAAGAGTTGCGATGCCCCCTGGATGATTTTGAGCTGGTGCTGTGGTCCTCTGGTTCCAGGGGGAAGAGTTACCCACTCTGCCCTTATTGTTACAATAACCCTCCTTTTAGGGATATGAAGAAAGGTGAGGCTTAGTAGGAGATAGAAACTATACAGTCAACCTTGCCCAGGTGCACACGGATGGACTTCACCTCCCAGAATTTGGGGAGTGGACCTCCACACACCTTAAAGCACGGGTATCAAACTCACCGTGTCATGTGACGTGTTGCGATGTATCGCCACTTTTTTTGCATCGCCGGAGCTGGGGCGGGCGGGGCCTCCGCATGATGCAACCGGCCCGTGGGCCAGCAGTTTAACACCCCTGCCTTAAAGCATGCTGGCTGGGGAATTCTGGGAGTTGAAGTCCAACCCTCTTAAAGCATGTTGGTTGGGGAATTCTGAGAGTCGAGGACTTCCTGCACTTTGAAACCCAGCTTCTCTCTTTGTTTCTTCTCCCGCCTTCACCAGGAATGGGCTGCAACGAATGCACCCACCCCAGCTGCCAGCACTCGCTCAACCTGCTCGGCATCGGCCAGTGTGTGGAGTGCGAAAGCGGGGTGCTGGTGCTGGACCCCATCTCCGGGCCCAAGTGGAAAATGGCCTGCAACAAATGCAACGTGGTCGTGCATTTCTTCGAAAACGCCCACAAGGTGCGCGTGTCGGCCGAGACCTGCGAGGCCTGCGACGCCGCGCTGGTGGACGTGGATTTCAACAAGGCCAAGTCGCCCCTGCCCGGCGGGGAGACCCAGCACGCCGGCTGCGTCTTCTGCGACCCGGTTTTCCAGGACCTGGTGGAGCTGAAGCACGCGGCCATGAAGCACCCCATGCACCGGGGCGGGCAGGGGAAAAGGCAGGGCCGAGGGCGAGGGAAGGGCCGGCGGCTCGGGGGGAGGCAGCCCCCCAAGAAGCCGAAAGACAAGATGGCGGCCCTGGCGGCTTATTTTGTATGATCGCCGTGGCGCGGGAAGCGTTTCGTAATACAATCCCCGACGAAGCTGCTTTCCGTTCGTCTTCCTTGGTCTTATTTGATCCTAAATGGCCCTGATAACGTTACATAGTCGGGTAATGAAAGGTCTGCAAGCCAAAGAGCAGGGGTCTTCAAACCTGGACTTGTGGAATTCTGGGAGTTGAAGTCCACCAGTCATAAAAGGGCCAAGTTTAAAGATCCTCTACTCAAGAGGGTCCCAAGGACACCACAATTCCTAAATTTAGGGACCGTCTGCAGTTATGACGGTGAGGAAGAAGTAGGCAACTGCACCCAGTCCTCAGGTTTACGACCTTGGCACAGCCCTGGTTTTGTTTAGCGACAGCTTTGCTTAGCGGCTGAGTTGCCAGTTGCTAAACTGGAACTGTCAGATCAATGAAATCCAGCAGAAATTCCCCCCCCCCAATACGTTTCTGTGTGTGTGTGTGTAGAGAATTGTGCATTTTTTTTTAGAAAAAACGTTTGCAGGGGGTTTAGATTAGATAACCTTTATTGTCGTTTTTTTCCCCCTGTGGGCACAGTGGCACCCGTTTTTAAAAAAAGAAATTTAGTTGCTTCCTCTCCAAGTGTACACAAACATAACACACATTTAAAACATACTATATACAACATATACTTTATAGTAAGTATATAGTATGTTTTGGTGCACCGGTGCGGCTTTTCCTTGCTTTGAACAAGGCAAGGTCCTTGCCGGCTGGTCCCCCCCCTCTCCAAAGAGGAAAAGTTTTGCAAGGGGGGGGGGGTAGAGAATCATGCCCCCTTTTTTTGGTGGGTTTTTTGGGGGGACATTAAAAGACACCCCCAGGAAGCCCTCTGGTCTCCTCTGTAAAAGAAAAAGTTTTTGCATGGGGGGGTTAGAGAAACGTGCTTTTTTGGGGATGTTAAAAGACACCCCCAGGAAGCCCCCTCCCTGCTTCCTCCCCCTTCAGAAAAAAAAAACCTTTTGCATGGGCTTTTCCTTGCCTTGAAGCAGGGTTGTTCCCCCCCTCCAAAGAGGAAATATTTTGCAAGGGGGGGGGATAGAGAATCGTACCTCCCGAGGGGGGTTTGGCATTAAAGGACACCCCCAGGAAGCCCTCTGGCCTCCCCTCTAAAAAAAAAAAGATTTTTGCATGGGGGGGTTTTAAAGAAACGTGCTTTGCTGTGTATTTTTATTTTTATTTTTTTGCATTAAAAGGACACCCCCGGGAAGCCCCCTCGCTGCTTCCCCCCCCGTTCAGAAAAAAAAGAAAAAAAAAACTTTTGCACGGGCTTTTCCTTGCCTTGCCCCCCCCTCCAAAGAGGAAAAGTTTTGCATCGGGGGGGGGGGGAAGCCGGAGAAACGTGCCTTTGCCTTGCATTGGCGTTGCAAGCTGGGGGCGGGGGTGCCGCCCTCCCCTTCCCCTTTTTTCCCCCCCTCCCCATTCGGAAAGGAGGGGGGGGGGTTTGCAGGAAGCCAGCCGGGCTGGGTCCTTCCCCAAGCAGCCCAGCCTCGCGCGGCAGCCCCGGGGAGGCGGCCGTTGGAAGCCGCCGGGCACCGCCTCTCCTCCTCCCTCCTCCGGCCATGGCTCGCCCGGCGGAGCGCGCTTGGCTGGCCGCCTTCCTGCGCGATTGGCCCGGCCCGCTGGGCCCCGCCGAGCCCCCGCCGCCTTGGAGCGCTTCCACCGGGCCGCTCCGGGAGGACGAAGCGGCGGCCGAGCTGGCCGAGCGGGCTCGCGGCTTCCTGGGCAGGAGGTGAGGCCGGGCGCGCGTGGGGAGGGGGCCCCGGCTGGCTCCGGGAGCCTGGCGAAAGGGGGCGCGGGGGAGGCCACGGGCGCTCGCGGGGGGGAGGCGCCCCTCTATTGCTTTATGTATGTATTCCCCCCCCCCTCTCTCTCTCCACGCGGGGTTTTGCAACGCAACGAGGGCCGGGGAGCCCTCGGGATTTTGCATTGACTCGCGTGGGAGGATTCGCGGTTTCTCTCCTTCCTTCCTAACTAACTCTTTCTTTCTTTCCTTCCTCCCTGCCCCCTCTCTTTCCTTCCTTCCTTCCTTCCTCCCTCTTTCTTTCCTCCCTCCCTCTTTCTTTCTTTCTTTCCTTCCTTCCTCTTTCTTTCCTTCTTTCCTCCCTCCCTCCCTCCCTCCCTCTTTCCTTCCTTCCTTCCTTCCTTTTTCTTTCTTTCTTTCTTTCTTTCTTTCTTTCTTTCTTTCTTTCTTTCTTTCTTTCTTTCTTTCTTTCTTTCTTTCTTTCTTTCTTTCCTTCCTCCCTCCCTCCCTCCCTCCCTCCCTCTTTCTTTCTTTCTTTCTTTCTTTCTTTCTTTCTTTCTTTCTTTCTCTCTCTCTCTCTCTCTTTCTTTCTTTCTTTCTTTCTTTCTTTCTTTCTTTCTTTCTTCCTCTCTCTCTCTCTCTCTCTCTCCTTCCTTCCTTCTTTCTTTCTTTCTTTCTTTCCGGGGATTTTTTTTTCTTCCAGGTGGGTGGGCTGCTTTGGCTAAAAGAGGTGGAGGTGGCAACTGGGTGGGCCGGGGCAATCGGCCCCTGGGTTGGGAGTGTGGGGTATGGGATATGGGGGCCTGTTGTCCCCACACAGTTTTCTAAAGGCTGCATTTGCCTGGAACCGGTAGAAGAGGCTCTTTGTAGCTCAGGGTTGAACTGTGGGGTGCTGGGTGCTCTCTGAGCTGGGGGCTTTTCTTGCAGACCCAACTAGGGAACATCACCAGTGCTAGAAGGGAGGGGGGTTTGTGGAGAGGAGGAGGAGGAGGAGGAGGCGGCGAGCGACAATGACAACTGTGGGGTCCTTGGTCCTCTCTGAGCTGGGTGGTTTTCTTGCAGACATTTCATGACCCAACTAGGTAACATCATCAGTGCTTATAAGGAGTGGGGTTTGCAAAGAGGAGGAGGGGGGGAGGAGGACTGTGGGGTCTTTGGTGCTCTCTGAGTTTGGTGGTTTTCTTGCAGACTTTTCATGACCCAACTAGGTAACATCATCAGGGCTAGCTTTGCGTTGAATGCCTAA